GGCACCCTAGTCTAACGTGTGTCACATCTACAGAGGTACAAGTATGGGGGGGGGGCACCCTAGTCTAACATGTGTCACATCTACTACAGAGGTACAAGTATGGGGGGGCACCCTAGTCTAACCCTAAGAAAGGACTTCCCAGTGTTTCCTGGAGGGGGAGGAGGGTTATATGAGGGTCCTCACAGGTCTGGCCAGCATCCAATCACCCGGCTGGTGATCCCGGCATATTACCCAATCATCTAGGAATCTTCCTGTGTCCTGTGTGGTTATTGGTGGTTACATATCGGAGGCAGACGTTGCTTTAGGAACACGCCTGGTGTAGGAGATTTGGCGGCTGCGCTGAAATATACGTGTCTGGTATTGGAATGTCCAACCAACTCCTAGACCAGCGCGGCTCCGGTGTCTACAGATCATCGGCCTTCTAGTGATGGTCACGTGTCCACCGGCCCCCCCAGAGTGATGGTCCGGTGTGTACTGGCCCCCCCAGAGTGATGGTCCGGTGCGTACTGGCCCCCCCAGAGTGATGGTCCGGTGCGTACTGGCCCCCCCAGAGTGATGGTCCGGTGCGTACTGGCCCCCCCAGAGTGATGGTCCGGTGCGTACTGGCCCCCCCAGAGTGATGGTCCGGTGCGTACTGGCCCCCCCAGAGTGATGGTCCGGTGCGTACTGGCCCCCCCAGAGTGATGGTCCGGTGCGTACTGGCCCCCCCAGAGTGATGGTCCGGTGCGTACTGGCCCCCCCAGAGTGATGGTCCGGTGCGTACTGGCCCCCCCAGAGTGATGGTCCGGTGCGTACTGGCCCCCCCAGAGTGATGGTCCGGTGCGTACTGGCCCCCCCAGAGTGATGGTCCGGTGCGTACTGGCCCCCCCAGAGTGATGGTCCGGTGCGTACTGGCCCCCCCAGAGTGATGGTCCGGTGCGTACTGGCCCCCCCAGAGTGATGGTCCGGTGCGTACTGGCCCCCCCAGAGTGATGGTCCGGTGCGTACTGGCCCCCCCAGAGTGATGGTCCGGTGCGTACTGGCCCCCCCAGAGTGATGGTCCGGTGCGTACTGGCCCCCCCAGAGTGATGGTCCGGTGCGTACTGGCCCCCCCAGAGTGATGGTCCGGTGCGTACTGGCCCCCCCAGAGTGATGGTCCGGTGCGTACTGGCCCCCCCAGAGTGATGGTCCGGTGCGTACTGGCCCCCCCAGAGTGATGGTCCGGTGCGTACTGGCCCCCCCAGAGTGATGGTCCGGTGCGTACTGGCCCCCCCAGAGTGATGGTCCGGTGCGTACTGGCCCCCCCAGAGTGATGGTCCGGTGCGTACTGGCCCCCCCAGAGTGATGGTCCGGTGCGTACTGGCCCCCCCAGAGTGATGGTCCGGTGCGTACTGGCCCCCCCAGAGTGATGGTCCGGTGCGTACTGGCCCCCCCAGAGTGATGGTCCGGTGCGTACTGGCCCCCCCAGAGTGATGGTCCGGTGCGTACTGGCCCCCCCAGAGTGATGGTCCGGTGCGTACTGGCCCCCCCAGAGTGATGGTCCGGTGCGTACTGGCCCCCCCAGAGTGATGGTCCGGTGCGTACTGGCCCCCCCAGAGTGATGGTCCGGTGCGTACTGGCCCCCCCAGAGTGATGGTCCGGTGCGTACTGGCCCCCCCAGAGTGATGGTCCGGTGCGTACTGGCCCCCCCAGAGTGATGGTCCGGTGCGTACTGGCCCCCCCAGAGTGATGGTCCGGTGCGTACTGGCCCCCCCAGAGTGATGGTCCGGTGCGTACTGGCCCCCCCAGAGTGATGGTCCGGTGCGTACTGGCCCCCCCAGAGTGATGGTCCGGTGCGTACTGGCCCCCCCAGAGTGATGGTCCGGTGCGTACTGGCCCCCCCAGAGTGATGGTCCGGTGCGTACTGGCCCCCCCAGAGTGATGGTCCGGTGCGTACTGGCCCCCCCAGAGTGATGGTCCGGTGCGTACTGGCCCCCCCAGAGTGATGGTCCGGTGCGTACTGGCCCCCCCAGAGTGATGGTCCGGTGCGTACTGGCCCCCCCAGAGTGATGGTCCGGTGCGTACTGGCCCCCCCAGAGTGATGGTCCGGTGCGTACTGGCCCCCCCAGAGTGATGGTCCGGTGCGTACTGGCCCCCCCAGAGTGATGGTCCGGTGCGTACTGGCCCCCCCAGAGTGATGGTCCGGTGCGTACTGGCCCCCCCAGAGTGATGGTCCGGTGCGTACTGGCCCCCCCAGAGTGATGGTCCGGTGCGTACTGGCCCCCCCAGAGTGATGGTCCGGTGCGTACTGGCCCCCCCAGAGTGATGGTCCGGTGCGTACTGGCCCCCCCAGAGTGATGGTCCGGTGCGTACTGGCCCCCCCAGAGTGATGGTCCGGTGCGTACTGGCCCCCCCAGAGTGATGGTCCGGTGCGTACTGGCCCCCCCAGAGTGATGGTCCGGTGCGTACTGGCCCCCCCAGAGTGATGGTCCGGTGCGTACTGGCCCCCCCAGAGTGATGGTCCGGTGCGTACTGGCCCCCCCAGAGTGATGGTCCGGTGCGTACTGGCCCCCCCAGAGTGATGGTCCGGTGCGTACTGGCCCCCCCAGAGTGATGGTCCGGTGCGTACTGGCCCCCCCAGAGTGATGGTCCGGTGCGTACTGGCCCCCCCAGAGTGATGGTCCGGTGCGTACTGGCCCCCCCAGAGTGATGGTCCGGTGCGTACTGGCCCCCCCAGAGTGATGGTCCGGTGCGTACTGGCCCCCCCAGAGTGATGGTCCGGTGCGTACTGGCCCCCCCAGAGTGATGGTCCGGTGCGTACTGGCCCCCCCAGAGTGATGGTCCGGTGCGTACTGGCCCCCCCAGAGTGATGGTCCGGTGCGTACTG